TCTTTAAGCTTTCGACTCGATTATGAGAGTTCTTGTTAATTAATTCTAGAAATTTTTCAAAAGAATTTACATCCATTTTCTCCGTTAACCAGCGTCGATTCGAATGGAATTCCTAGAAAATTCTTGGTATATTCGTGAAGAATGCAAACGTTAATGGACGAAGCGCAAGTGTCGGCTTACCTGCGCGTATGTGCGATGTTCTCGATTATGCTGCCTGGTTTTATGTCGCCCAAGTTAGGCTTTCTATTGATCTTTGCCTTTCTCGCTCTGTTCCGCAACGCCTGGAAATGGTAAATTGAAATCACTGTTTCAAGATAAATCTGGCAACCGGTAACAAACGTGCGAAATAAATCTTCGTACGACATACAGGACAGGTAACGCACGATGCCTGTTATCGCCTACACATATCAGAACACCGAGATTTATCATGGCAAATTTATAGGAGAAATATTTCTCACAGTATCATATGTATATTAGATAATTTCATTTGTAGTTGAATGACTCACTACGAGAAACGAAATGATCTATGAATTACGGCCGAATACAAAAGATACTTTTCACGTTTCGTGTCGATATTTCGAAGCATATTGTTTCGTTTCTTCAAATCGTTTGGCACTGTTATATCGTCATGCCATAGAAAATAAACAGGACGGTCAATTGTGCGATGCTTTACAATTCAAGATGGACGTTTCTTTTTAAGTTGCAATAAAAACAGTAAAAGGAATCTACTGCAAAATAATGGTGAGATAGGATGTACATGTTCCATATTAATATAAATATCTATTTAGCAAAATTAGTAATCAAAGGTAGAGAAGTATTAAATACAAAAGTAAGTACTTCTAAGGATATTATTTTTTTCTTTTTTTTTCTTCCTTCATTTTCTTTTTTCGCTTATTTGTCTCTATTCCTTGCTATTTCTCCTTCTTCATCATTCCCTTTACTTTTCTCCTTCTTTCTTCTTTCATTTCATGCTTTCCTTTCTTCTTTTTAATTTTTTCGCCAGGAAATTAATACATCTTTCCGGCTTTGATGAGAAATAACAAAAAAAAAAAAAAATCTTTAGTCTGATTCTCGACTACAGAATTATCATGTGTTAAATTTGAGATCTGCTTTACACAATTATTGCCACAATGCATATTTCACGTCATCGGAAATTAATATCATAACGAATGAAAGCAACCATGCAAACAAAATTGTTTATGTATTCCGGTCAGTGTAGAATAGCGAAGCAGCCGTATTTATGATTAACCGCAACGTAATCGCAAAAGCCAGCATATCTGTGGGACACTTTGCTCCATATGGTGTGTTAAAATTATAGCTACGTAATTTGGCAAAATTTTATTTCCTACGAACGACATTATTACAAGTTATGGTCCACTAGCTAAATAAACGGCTTTTTATTACAACTTGTTATTTAATAATTTTTTTTTTCAATTATCAATCTATTATTTACGTTCGATGCCAAATTTTATCCTTGAATTTTGTACCAGGTGAATCTTTATTTTTGCTAATTGTTTTTTTTTTTTTGAACATCTGATTCAAGGGTCGACTGTATATTAAAGCAGAAACTTCAATAAGTAAAATTTTTTCAGATTTTTTAAAAGTCAAAAACAATAAAAGAATTAGTCATTTAGTCAAACAGCTTGGATTGCTCGCGGAGCAATCCCTTCGCCTGCTGAATGTTGGATCTATTTGAAAATATATCCCGTTCCAGAAAAAGTTGTATTGCACAAGTATGTTACAATAGCCATTGAAACGACAGATGTCATATTGTGTAAGTGACATGCTCATATTTGTATAGCCGATGATAATAAGTGTCAAGAGTAAATGCTTTTAAACATGTTTATTCATGTTTCATGTATTCTATGTGTATCGTGCGTGAATAAAAGCCAATAAATATTATATAGGTTGTGTAGTGGGACGCGTAGTGCAACCGGACAGCAGGTGATTCTACGTGAAAGAATAAATTGAGAGAAAAGAGAATAAAATTTTTTCGTTCGATGCTTTGTTTTCGAGAAAGTCTAGTTTGAAAGTTTATCGAGTTCACCGGCATTTGACTCGCGAGGCAATATTAATTGTAATCTTGTAAACGGTTCTTTGTATCACTGCATCTCCACTTTTAAATGCAATAAGCAATGATCTCGTGCAGCAGCCAATGGAAAGATCGTGGTATTTTCTGAAAGCGCGAGTTCGGTAAAATTTTGATTTTTCTTGAAAGCTGTGAAGCCTCAAACGAAAAAATTTTGCTCTCTCTTTCAACTGATTTTTTTCACTTTCTGCTCGATTGTACTACAATTATCACACACACTTGCTTTCACTGTCGAGATCTTACTGTTTATAATACCAATTCTTTTTATTAGTAATTCTTCGTTTTATAAATGTATATTTTTTTCACTTTATATAATACTGTTTCTCTTTTTTTTTCACGCGTATACGTATTTATCACTTGTATACAGTAATGTGCTATTTGTAGTGAAATGAAAATATACAATATAATGTTTGCCGTATTTTACATAAAATACGTTAGAACATGAGTAGATTAATAAAAAATAGAAAATAAAATCACAAAGATAACGTACGAATAATCATCTCGTTTTTTCAAATCTTGCGGATTTGGGTTGTTTTGTCTGATACATATGAATAGAATATTGGTTATTCGTTTAAAATGCATTATCTTTTTGAATCTATAAATTTGCCTCTATGCATTCTTGTGATATATACACGTATATATAAATCGTATATTTTGCAATTCAATTTAATGCATAAATTCAAATTTTTTGAATCAGTAACACGCAACCACAAGACCTTACTAGAAAACAAAAGAGTTCACTGGTGAAAGAACAGGAAAATTTAATCGAAAATTGTCTTTCCAATGATACAAATTACAATTTTCTGTTACGAATTCGAATAGTTTCAGTATCCCACCGATTGGAGTTAAAAGAGTTAGTGAGCAACGCCGTTGCCGATCCTATTTCATTGATTATTCTTAAACGAACGATTGTCAATAATATTTTTACCTTGAATATGTTGTAGTAGAGAAACACCATAATGATGCAAGGTATGTAGAAGCTGGATAGGCTCGAGTAGATGATAAAGTCCGCATTGTAGAAGAGGCATTGGTCTGGTATTCGGTCCGGAGTGTTATTCAAGCCGAGAACAATCGGGCTGCCGATCGCGGCAGATATCGCCCAGACCAACAGTATCGTCAACCACACTCTTCTATTGTTCTTGTGCTTGGCGTATTTTATCGGCTGGGTCACTGCTATGTATCTGCAATTCAAATTCATTTCGTGTATCGTACAGTGTCTCCTGCTTGATGGGCATTACGTTACCACAAATCAACATTGATCCACCAACGCTCGCGCGTCCAATTTACTATTTCTATCCCGATCGATGTATCTGCGCCGGAACGATTCTACCTTGGAAAAAAACCGCGATATTTAAATATTTATGTCTCTCTCTCTCTCTTTCTAATGAGACGAAATCGAATCTCACTGAACGGAGAGAAACGGAAACGAATCGGAGATTAATTAAATTGCTGAATTACCGTTTGTTCTCCGGGATTCATTTAAAGAAGGAACGGCAGATAGATTCAGATTTTACGATTTTATGGGAAGTATATTTAATAACAGACATTCGTCTGCATTGCGAGATAAAATTGGCCGAAAAAACTCCGTATTAATCATTCGGCTTTGCTGTTTTTATAATGGACGAATGTGCTCCCGTCTAAGTTATTTTCAGTCTGTATAATCGGAATTTATAGTTCGCCGTTTAATACGCTTTCGGTGAGAGGAAACGTAAGAAAAGAAACAGAGGGAACGTAACTTTGATGGTCAAGCGAATTTTTCACGAGTTTTCCGCAGGTTTCTTGAAACAGCGGAAAATTAGGGCCGATCGCTTTAATTTCTTCCTCGACTTAAAGACAGTTAGTTTCTCAGTAGTCTCGTCGAAATTTGATCAACAGAAATTACGCCCGGCCCTTACAACTCTGTCTCGTTTCGAATGTCACGGAACAAACTTCGGCTCCTTTTCCTCTGTCTCTCGAGTCTGTTATTCGCGTCACGTAAACCGGTTAGATCGACAACTTTTTTTTTT